TCCTATCCTTGCCCATTTTATAGTGAAAAACCAAAGCAAAGAGAAGGAATTTGTCCAAAGTAAGCTATTGATGTGGAAACATGTACACAGAATTTTAACATGCAAGGTTGTGAGAGAGAAGAGTCTCTTTTGTCTACGTGACATAGTTCATAATTTGCTTTTAAGTAACTACAATAGCTATAAACTATCTATTTTTTAAATTTTCTTGAAATTGCATACATGGATATGATATTTACATCATTTTGAGCCCTCTCCTTCCCCATCCAAAACCTATTGAGTCCATCTGGGGTTGCTCCTATGCACATCATTAGAGATGAGCCCTTGGGATTAGATAGCATATCAGAGCGGCTCATGTGTGAAGAAAACCAATTCTCCCTCTCTCGGTAGTTATTGTAGCTTTTCACCTAGGGTAGGCCTTGTTATGTAGATTTTGTTGAGATCTCAAGGGTACAGCTTCCCTGCCTTGTCTAGAAGACAGACCCTTGGAGCAGGCATCCTGGTCCTCTGGCTCATACATTTCTTTCACAATTCTGTATAGAGGTGTCATTGGTGATGTATCAGCTGGAACTCGCATTCCTACAGCTACCTGTTCTCTGCAGTTTGACCAGTTGTGAACCTCTAGAATAATCTCTAGCTGCTACAAAAAGAAGCTTCTTAGATGGTGGGGTGAGAGTCCTACGGGAACACGGATAAGCATTTCAAATACAGTTAGAACTTCTATTGGTTTAGGAAAATGGCAGGAGTAGACTCTCTTCAAGGGGCTGTGATCTCTCTGGCCATAGGTAGTTGAATAGGTTTATAATATCTGCCATAATTACCTCCTGTTGGGTGGGCCCACTTAGACAGTTATTAGTTATCCCCAAGATAAAAATGCTACTATTGGAGCATTCAAAGTATCTTGCTGAGTCAGTCACAGTTGCGGTTTGTGGGCTTTATAGCTAGATGGGGCTGTTGATTGTTTTTGTTTATTTGTCTGTTTGCTTTTCTGTTAGCAGCTAATATAGCTCCTTCCTATGCTATGAGACTTGGGTCTCAAGGAGGAGGCTTTCCGATCAGCTCCATCTCAGCTTCTCCAAGTCCAGTATCCCAAGTGTGTGGTATCTTCAGCAATGGGGTCTCAATCCCATGTTCTGGAAGACCCAAAGGCAGTGGCAGCAAACTAATTTTTTTTTTTTTCTTTGGAGGGCGGTCTCTTGAACCCCTCTGATCCACAACTCAAAAGAAGGCTCCCCATGCCTGGCACTGGAGTTTTATTAGATAGTCTACATGTCTTATTGCCTCATGTGTAACTCTAGTTAAAGGTGTGTGTGTGTGTGTGCGTGTGTGTGTGTGTGCGCGCGTGCGCGCGCGCATGCACGCATGTGTAATAAGATACCATATGCATTCAGGAAACTTATTTTAAAAAGTTCTCGATGAGTTTTTCAAATATCCTCAGTGCTACCTCCCCTACCTCCTTCTCTCTATTGCCCCCTCTCTCCCATCTCCCATTAAAGTCCCTCTGCTATTGTTTATACCATTGTCCCCTCCATAGTACCTTTGTCCTAACTCCTCCTCTCCCTCCTCTCCCTGTGCTCCCTTTCTACTTCCCTGGCCCCTGCAATCTCTCAGGTTAGACTCTCAAATCTAAGTCATCCAAGCTAGTATCTACATCTAAGAGGGGACATGTGACATCTCCCTTTCCAGGTCCGGCTTCCCTTACTCAGCATACTTTCCAGCTCCACCCATTTCCCTGCGTATTTTATGATTTCATTGCTTTCTTTACAGCTAAATAGAATCTATCGCCGACATGTATCTGATTTCCATACCCATTCATTGGTTGAAGGGCATTTAGGCTGTTTCCATTTCCTAGCTATTGAGAATAGAGCAGAGACAAACACGGCTGGGCAAGTTTCTCTGTGCTAGGACGCTGGGCCCTTCAGGTGTATGCCAGAGGTTGGCATATCTCGGTCGTATGTCACAGTTATAGACTTAGCTGCAGCCTAAGAACCTCTCTTTATAAATAATAGTTACTGAACGCTTGGATCAGAAGCATGTGCCACCATGGCCCAGCTGTAGGGTACTGTCTTAAGCACCTTAACCAATAATTAAGCCTCTTAATAACTCTACTTGGTACAGGGGATGCCGGGAAGATGGCTCAGAAGTTAAGTTCTTGCTGCTCTTGCATAAGACCAAGTTCGGTTCCCAACACCCACATGGAACAGCTCACAGCTACCCATAACTCAAGTACCAGGGGATCTGACACCTACTTCTGGACCCCATGGGCACTGCACTGACATGCACAAAGCCACACACATACATAATTTTCAAAACTCAAATAGAATCCTTTTAGAAACTCTATAAGGTTGGCACTGACAACATGCCCATTTTACAACTCAGGAAAGGTGAACAGAGCAAGTCTGAGTAACTAACTCAAATCACTGGCAATCAGCACGAAGCAGTAGGATCCAAACTGAGCATTTTACCCAAGCATCTGGTTCCAGCATCCTTGCAATCAGCCATCATATGATGGTCTCTGATATCGCTATGATGTTTGTACAGCTTAAAGGAAGAAGTTAATATTCTCCACATAAAAACATTTATCCAGTGATCACTCCCAAAATGCATTGCTTCTTTTCCAGTTTACACCCATGGAGTAGATAACAATGAACTTCAACGTTGATTACACCGGTACATTTGCTTTTGTTATTGCTCTTAGGACAAGGACATGGTATGGGGGGAAAGGGATATTACTCTTCCTCTCAGCTGAGACCTTCCTAAGTAACTAAAAATAAGTAACTCTGTGTGGGCTAGGAGTGCAGTTCAGTTGTTGGCTACCATGCAGGAAGCCCCATGAAACCGAGTGTGTGTTACATACCTGTACCCCAGCACTCAGGAGGTGGGTGCAGGAGAACCAGAAGTTCGAGTCCCAGGACAGCTTGGTCTGTATGAGACATTGGAGAGAGGACAGCAGAGCATGGAGGGCAGGAAGAAAAGAAAAGGAAAGGAAGCTATGTGCTTTCAGTTTCTACGTGCAACTCTCTCCACACACTCTGAGGGAAACTCTCTGTTCAAAAACCTAAACCATTCAACTTAGTGTGTATCTTCAGGCAAAATGGGGACTTCAGCCTCTCAGACAGCTTGGCAAAGCTGATGACCACAGCATGCTTGTTCTGCTCATGGTGTCTCACATCACCAGAGCAAACAGATGAGGCCCATAGAGCAGTCACTCCTTTGTTTTCTGTCTTTGCTAAAAGAATCCAAGAACACAGGGGAGCAGTGTGCCACCTTGTGAGTAGAAGGTGTGCAGTTTCTGCCTCAGCCACAAGCCATGAAGGCAAGCCTGCTCAACCTCTGGGGACGCCGTGAGCAATGTTTTTTGGAGACATAGGATGTGGTATGTCTATATCTTCTCCCACAGCCAATGCAGGTCCACACAGAGAAATGACTGACGTGGATCTTTATCAGACACATTCTGGCAGTGCTGGAAAACCGTAACGCAAAAGTCTTGAACTTGGAGCCTGTGAACCTGTTCCCACCACTTGAGTGACCTTAAATTAATCCAGGCTACATTCATAAACGAGGGAAGTAAACTGGGGTCTATCATGGTCTATTTGGCCCTTACAATATGAGGCCACCATCAAGAGGAATGTGTCTCCAATCTTAACTGACCCTCAGGATTCAGATCTTTCTTACATCATCACAGTTATCTTGGGAAATGTTGCCGGGCTTCCATCATCCCTCCAATCCAGCGCACAGAACCAGCCACAGGTGGCTCATTAGGCAATGAACCCTACTGTTGTCTGCAGCAGGGGTCATTTGTGAATGAGTAAAGACAGCATGCCAACCATTCTTCCTGTCATTAGATCATGTACACGTTAGAAATGGAAGCTCCAAGCTCCTACTATCTGCCCGACCCAAAACCAAATCCCAGACAGGACAAAGACCTCATATTTCACTTACTCTCTGGCACCTGGAGCATGGCAGCCACGTGGATGTCCTTAAAGCCGGTGGCATGGTAGCAGTGAAAGAGAGATGTATGCTGTATCCAAAAAAAAAAAGAGACGCAAGTCTCCAGAGACTGAGCCCAGCCTTCTGTACATCTCCAAGTAGCAAAGGAGTCTGACAAAAGACTGCATAAGGAACAGATCTACTCGTGAGTTGCACTCCATCATGGAGAGAAGTCCTGGCAGGAACTTAAGGCAGGAACTCAAGTGAAGCAGGGATGATGAAGAGACACTGATCACTGGCTCACTCCATAACCTGCCCCCTCTTTCTTATACAACTCAGGACCACCCGCCCACAGGTGGCACTGCCCACAATGGGCTGGGTCCTTGCACAAGAGTCATTAATCAAAAAAATGCCCCCCAGACACTCCCAGAGACTAATCTAATGATGTCAGTTTCTCAACAGACGGAAGAATGAGGTTCTCTCTCACCAGGTGGTTTAAGTTTGTATCAAGTTGACAAAAACTAATCAGCACGTACTTCAAGTATTTTTAATTAATAATATTTTATTACATAATTAATGGGTATATTAATTTTTACTACATTTTATATAATCAATAGGTCATAAATAGATGTACAGTTCTCCTACAAATATAAATACATAATAGTTTATGCCACCCTCCTTCATATGTAGCAAATTTCTCAATGGACATAACATACCAGTTGTTTGCCTCATCCTTATTAACCCAGCCCATACAACTCAGCCCCCTCCCATACATTCTGAATGTGCTTTCTTCATTTCCATCAGAAATACGAGTATTTCACTGAACTCTACAAGAACGGTACTGTATCAGTGACAGTATTGACAAAAAAAAAAAAAAAATGTGGTTATCATGTAACATAAAGAGGTTTGGCCAAAGGTGTCTTAATTCTCCTTCATTTTCACAAGTTTAAGGCGTTGGAACACATCAGGTCTGGTCACAATTCTAAAGCATGCCAGAAAGTTTACACTGTACCTTATCAGAGTTTAAAGAATGCCATGCATGTCTTACTAAGAGTCTTAGGAAGCAAAGAGACTTGGCGCTCAGGCTTTATGCAGAGAACTGGCTAAAGAGAGGCATTTCCTCAGTTTCTTCAACCGAGTTTGATATGTGGCTTTGTCAGGCTGCGCGGTGGACGATGGGAGCCACACAAGTGCAGCCAACTTTCACCAGCATCTTCTCCAGCCTGAAGGAATTAGAACAGCCCTGGGGCTCCCTCCGGAGGACTAGGATTTCTTGCTGGATAGCAACAGAGTTCATGGAGCTGTCTTCCTGTCCCTGCGCGTTCATGCAGCCTGAATATCTGCACTGGGCCTCCGCAATCTCTGAGGGGAACCGGTGGGGGTCTCGGGTGATGCTAAAGAAAAAAAGAAACAGGCAACGCTGGATGTTGAGGCCAGGGAGAGGAAGAGAGAAGGGCTCCTGCAGCTCTGGGTGCTCCCCTCCAGGGGAGGGTCTGAGTCCTGCAGGGCGCAGCACGGGCTCTAGATTCTTGGACCAAACTCTAGCTGTTAATGACTGGCTATGCCTTAGATATCTGCATCATAAAATGGGGCTTCTCACCATATCACTCTCCCAGGGAATTGGTGAGGGTTTTGCATAGTATGAATGCATGTACAGCAACCCCATAAATGGTGTCAGGATTCAGTTACTCTTAGGTCTACATTTTATTTGCATTGTTATTATTGGAGTTTCACACGTCCTGTAAGCAGAAATTGAACATGTCCAGTAGGTCTCCCAATAAGCACTTCATAAAACTCACCGCTTGGAAAGGAAAATTCAAAGCCCTAGAGACCTGTGACTCCAGTCTCTCTCAGTTTCTCTCTTGATACTCACCTCTGCCTGGAGACAGGCAGCCCAGCGGGCTTGCCACGGTGTGCAAACCCCTCAAGAAGGGAGGAAGCTACGCAGTAGCCCCAAAGCACAGCTTTGTCCCCAGAATCTGTTTTTATGGCTGTATTTGAAGAGTGTACATGGGATCTAAGCATCCCCAGGACCTGTACCTTTAAGACAAAATCACAAGACTCTATCCTACACAGCTGACATCCCCATCCCCAGCTGACTTTGCTTCTACACCTGTCTCTTACCCTCACCACTCAAAGAGTAACGTGTATTCGGAGTAGCTCCTTAAACTGGCTTCTGGTTTCCACTGGTCCTCCTGCAGTGATGCTAACACAGACTGAAAAATACTAAGACTTTCAACCACACCGGTGAACTGGGGTGAGAAAGCTGAGTTCCTGGAAAAAGTGGAATTCCTGTTGAAAGGGATGAGCGCAAAGCCAGGTGAAGTGTGCCATGCCTGTCAGCAGACCTCAGAAGGCTGAGGCAGAAGGATAACCGCGGATAACCTGGGCTGCTTACAAAGTTCCAGGGAAACCTGGGCTACAGAGTGAGACCTCCATCTCAGAAAAAGAGTGAATGTGACTCCTGGGTACTAGGGAGAAAATGTTTTATAATCAAAATAATTTAGAACAGTTTTCTCCTTTTGGGAGGGTTAGTTTGGGGTTTGTTTGTTTGTTTGTTTTTGTTTTGTTTTGTTTGGGTTTTTTGTTTTGGAGGTTTATTATTGTTTTTATTTATTTTTTTTATTTATTTTTCAAGACAGGATCTCACTATATATTGTGGCTGTCCTGGAACTCACTACATCAAACTGGCCTTGAAATCAGAGATTTACTGCCTCCAGAGTGCTGGGCTTAAAGTCATGCATCTCTGCATCTGGTTTAGCACATTGTTCAATGGTCTATCTTCCCTGACTTACTTGTAATCCCATGGGGAGCTGGAGCGGTTTTGGAAGTCATGTGAGAGAGAAACGCCCTGGTTTTGATTGAAGATGCGAATGTCAACTCTCACACTGTTATCCTCCAGTGGAGGGCAATTCCCAGCCTTCTGAGGGACAAGAACCCCTGCTTTGGGGTTCTTCCGAGCTGCTACCCCTCTCAGAATGGCAAGCCCCAACATCAACAGCAGCAGGGACTTGACCTGGAAAATAGAGATTGCGGAGGGTTAGTCCTAGTGGTGATGTAGCTGAACTCTAAGTTTGTACGTGGGATCTCTGTGGATCAACGTTTCTTTCTTTCTTTAGTACAGGTAATCACTGGCAATGAGAACAATCATATCTAATGTTATCTGGTGCAAACCAGAAAGACTGGTGATTAAAATCCTGTTGGATTTATCTCCACCCTTATATCCCACAATGCCTCCCTCCAAATCTCACCCTACCTTCAAGGCTCCATGCATATGTAGTTCAATCAGAAGTATATTCATCAACATTAAATAGTAAAGATTTTATCAATTATCACTCAAGAAGCATTTTTAATGTTCTTTAGAAAGGTATTATCTGCATTCATGTCACACTTAGACCTGTCCATAAAAACTTTCTGAATGAATGAAAGAATAGATACATGAATGAATAAAGAGGGTTACACAGTTAAACAATACATTTGAGCTCGGTCATTGAGTAAAAGATATACAAAAGCAACCGCAGCAAACTTCCAATGCTAATTGAAAGAAGCAGGGTACTCATGGCGCACAAGAGCAGAGTATAGAAGCCACTTCTTCAAGCTCCGGCCCATGTATTTTTCTATACTGACATTGGCATATCAGTTTATCTGGGGTTACAAGAACACACAAAGAAATTACTCAGTGAAGACCTACCCACAAGAGGAACAAAGAACTCAACAGCTTCCCTTTGTTGCAAATATCCTTTGCCCACACCACCATCCCTGCTTGACCCTTTACTGGGGATGGACAGAAGGGCTGAAGCTGAGCTTTCCGTTTCTAGGCTCTGTGTCGTTCAAGTTCATACTGTATAGGTGGAGACAGTGACTGTATGTATTGGTTTAAAAGACGTGCCTGTTATTTTATTCATACTGGAGGGGGAAACAATCCCCAGAACAAACAGAAAGGTCGTGGAACCCGGTATAGCAAGATGGCTGATAGTAAGTCGAAATCAAGAAGCAGGGTGAGGCAGATTTCCCTCCGGATAATCAGCAGTCATATGTTTTCATCTCCACAATCATTCTTTCGCCCAGTAACTAGTCCTTAGGGTCCCAGGGTTGTGGTTTGGGGCATTCTCTCCAGAGTCAACTGTCACTTCTGCTACTTATGCCACAGTGACTTGGTTTCCTACATCCACATAAATCCCAAAGATCCTGATAAGGATTTGAGACAGGTGACAACTGTTGGCATTGTACTGATGTTATACTCACTGTGTGTGAGCCAGATGTGGGATGTAGTCTTTACAAGTGTTTAGAAGTTTAGAAAACATAACCACACACCTACCAACCACTTAGGTTACGTAAGTAAATTTCTCCTCTGAGTGCTCTCTTTCCTTTTGTGTATCATGCTCACTGCTTCACTTCTAATCTTCAGTATCAAGACTGAAAGTCACTGTAGCTTGGGTTATATGATTCACGATAGCTATTGTGGTGGTTTGAAAGAGAGTGCCCTCCATAGGATGATATGTGGCCCTGTTGAAGGAAGTGTGTCACTGGAGCCGGTTCTGATTTTTTTTTTTTTTTTTTTTTTTCTTTTCAAAAGTCTTACATCATCCCCAGTTAGCTCTTCCAGCCTCAAAGTTATGTCTCTCGGCCACCAATTCAACACCAGGCCTACCTACCTGCAGCCACGATGATCACCGAGCTAACCCTTAGAAACAGGAAGCCCCAAATTAAACACTTACTTTTTTATATGTGCTTTGTTCCTGGTGTTTTATCACAGCGATAGAAAAAAATAACTAGGACAACTACCATGCTCCCAACAAGTTGTTATTATTTTTATTAATATTTAAATTTTCTTGGAGTATTTTAGAAGACATTTCCACACCTCTTTAAATACTAGATTCTCTACCCTCTATCTCATGAAGTAGACAAAGCTCATCTTAATTATCTAACTAGCTAGGTGAAGGACTTAGTCTAAGAGGCAACAAATGACTTGTCAGTGTTCCCCAGCCTCTTAATGCCAGTCCTCAGGCTCTACCTTCCATGGCAATGCTTGGTCACAGCCACCGAAGGTCATTACGACTATTATCAATATTAATCTTAGTTGTGTGTCTTTACAGGAGCTAAGGACTCTAAATATCCTATCCACTGCATCTGAAAGATTGAAAGGCCACACAGCCTATTTATCAAGAAATCATATAATATCAGCGAGTCACTGTTTGCTTCTTGACGTCGTTTTGTGTGTGTGTGTGTGTGTGTGTGTGTGTGTGTGTGTGTATTTGAGCTCTTATAAGGCTGGTGCTGAGTCAAAGAATGATACAAACAATACTTCCCAGGGAATTTGAGAATGTTTTATGGGCTTTAATTCATATATGCCACCTTTAAAGCAGATTAGTAGATACCGTTCTCATCCCGTAGAAGGGGAAACAGGCAGAATACTGAAGCTGGAGGTGGTCAGGCGTGGGATGGGAAGCTTTTCAGCTTAGCTTTGGGCATTCCTCTGGTGTGAACCAGCTGAGAGAACATCCTCACACTTGCCCCTACACTAACCTGTAATCCATAATCTCCTCACACAGGAGGGGGCTACAGAACCTGGTCAGCTCTGGGCTCCATCCAAATTTACCTCAATAACCCGAGGGTGTCCTGTCTGCTTGCCCCTCCTAACTCACTCCTATTTCCACGCTACTTTCACTGCTGGGCTTCTTGCTGACCACCCAAAGAAACAGAAATGCTTTGGAGCTTTAAACTACTATCTTGCCTCTCAGTCATCCACAGAGGAGCAAACTATTATTGCCAGAAAACCGACATGTGGGTCTCAGCTCCGCGTTACAGTGTTAAGTGACAGCAAACAAAATACAGATGGCCGAGCTCCTTTTCGCTATGTAACGGGGAAATATTCATCATCTGTGGGTGGATGAGGGTCTCAGAGCTAATGAAATAACACTGACCCAGGCTTGGTGGCACACTCCTGCAGCTCTAGCTTCCAGAGGGTGAGGCAAAAGGGTCGCCTGCCAGTTCCAGACCAGTCTGAGTTCCACAGCAAACTCAAGACTAGCCTGGGCCACGCAGGAAGATTTTGTCTCAGAAAGCAAAAACAATAATATTAAGAATTAACATCTGCATGCTTTTTCTACCTTTATCTCTTATATGGCAAATTAGAGTGCCCAAATTACCTAAAACCTAAGCATCCATGATCTATCTCACAAATATAGATTCATCCCAATATATCAATTAATCCCTTCCCCCCAAACACTGTATTGGAGACGCTATTATTATGCTGCCACACAGCTGAGAAAATTAAATTCATGAAGGGTAATGACTAATGCCAAACACCCACATTTAGCAGGTAGCAGAGCCAAACAAAACTTGTGACTTCTAAGCCTTGTGTCCCTAAATACTGTACCTTGGTGGCTTGTTGTAATCTCCAAAGTAACATACTAATAATCAAGTAACTACCACCATTGTCAGAGCCAAGCTTTTTGAAGCTGCAAGGCTTATACAAGGAAAAACCAGAGGACAATCAGAACCGATAACAGTATGTATTACCTAAGCCTGGCCCTTGTGCCTCTATCAAACCCTTCCCGGGTTTCTCTGATTAAGGTCAAGTGAGTGAGGAGTAGAATTCTATCACATTAACATCCACTAGCTTTGAGAAGGAGCAAGACCATGCAAATTTATTAATTCATTAATCAGGGTATCAAAGACACAGAAACCTCCGCCAGAAGCTGTCCAAAAGTTTAACTGGCTGGTTCTCCTTCCTCTGCTCAAAATACTACTATGGTCTTGGAAGAACCAAATTTGAGGTTCCCTGCTCCCTTCCTTGGGATATATATTACATATTAATACCTGGCATACATTAGATATTATTACATGTGATATCACATAGCCATTCCTTCCTTGGAATTTATACACACACACATACACACACACACACACACACACACACACACACAGGACTATGATGGTCCCTTGTGATACCAGATAAACACACTAACTCTTCTGAGCAAAAACCATCAGATAAGAACAGATGCTTTCCACCCCGCATAACTTTGCTACTGTTGGTTTGCTCGTTTGTTTGCTCTTCTTTTTCTCCACCAGACAAATCGAAAATTAAACTTCACTTCATTTTTTTAAAGAACTAATTCACAAATGACTGCAAGAAGGTCTAAAGCCTTCCTTTCTAAAAGTTTAGACACGATTCCCCTTGCCCTGGACATCAGCGCCACTCACCACCGCTGTCTCGCATGCGCCCTTCATGCTTGTTTCTCGCTGGTTGCTTCTTCGTTCAGGAAACACTTTCTTCTGGGTGTGTCTCCCTGGATATGTCAACGACAGTACCTGTCACTTTTATAGCAATCACTGTCCCTGTTTCCATCGACCTCCTTACTGTCTGTAAGTTGTGGTTGACCCAGAGTCACTGACGAATGCAGGGTTTTTTTTTTTTTTTCTACTCCACTTCCTGAAGGGGAACCAAAGGGGGACCCAAAAGGGAGATGACGGAAAATGGACCCCATCTTCCCTTCCTTCCACACCCCCTTCCTCTCCCATTACCTTTACTACAGAGATGAACCAAGTCACAGATTACTGTCACAGCCTGTAATTCTTCCACAAATCGTCAACACCCTTGTCACACACTGTGGGTTCTACTTTCAGACCATGCAACAGAATCCACGGTTGACATGGGGGGAAGTCATCCTTACCAAGGCTTAGCTTTCTACACCGTGGATGGGAAAATAAAACGAAAGAAATGACTGATGCCTGAGAGAGCCAGAAATTACATCCACAGGTAGTTTTGTGGTTTCTCTAATTACTTTAACCTTCCGACTAGACCCCCTACTGTGCTTAACAAATAACCATTCACACAATATATGTGGCTATTATCTTGGCTCTCTCTAATTGCGGGCCGTTTTTGTCAGTCACAGTGAGTTAATAAATAGAAGACTTTAAATGCTGCGGTGCGCAGTTTGTGTACGTGAAAAAAAAAAAATCACTTGTCTCTGTTCAGATCCAGTCAATAAGCTTCTGTCAAGCACATGCATTTATACTGGGGAAACACACTCATTCCCCTCTCTCAAAAACACCAGTGTCTTACTTCTTAAATTTTTCTATTACTGAGGTCTGGAGACATGGCTCAGAGGTTAAGACCACTGGCTGTTCTTCCAGAGGACCAGGGTTCAATTCCCAGCACCCACATGGCACCTCCCAACCATCTATAACTCTGGTTCATGGGATCTGACATGTATGCAGACAAAACACCAGTGCACATGAAATAAAAATAAGTAAATTTAAAACATAAATCTACTTTGATCACACCAGACCACCTGAAACAGAGTACAAGCTGATCCTACATTCCAAACAGCTGGACAAAACAGCCCTACAGACTACAGCTAGGATATCTGAATCTTCTTCGAATCCCCCAAGACAGCGCCCCTTACCAGCAGGAAGTAATTTGGAAAGAACGAAGCCCAAATTCCCAAATATTGTGTATAAATGTTTGTTTTCATTTAATTGGACTTTGTTATATAAAATTAAATTAAAAAATAAAGAAAGAAAGAAAGAAAAAAAAACATAAATCTACTGCGATCAGGTACGACCTTTTACACATCGACCAGTTATGAGTCTCTATGTCAATTAGTGTCTACTACAAAATGAAGCTTCCTTAAATGCAGGGAGTGGGGGTGGATTTGATCAAAGCTATGTATTCATGTGTAAAAGTCTACAGCCAAATTTTTTTAAGATCAGGTCAATGTACACATTTCCCTATCAGAGTGTGGTCTAGAGCTCAAAGCTATTGTCCTCTGTTGCCTAATTCCACATTTTCTTTTACTGAAGAGTATCCAGAACTGATCCCAGTTCAGTCATGGCAGGCCTTACAACCACACGGCTCCTCTCTGTCTGTGGAGGCTTCTGTGTCCTTCTCTGCAGCTGTCAGAAGCTTGCCTCCTTCCTACCAGAAGACTCTCCAAGCACCCTCTCAGACATTGTTCTGCCCTCACTCTTGGTGAGTTCAAACTATATCTAACTTTTGTCTGCTTCTGTCTAGGATGGTTCTCCAGGGTCATAATGAATATGGAGTATCTTTACCACCTCACAAAATGCACATCCTCAAATATGCAGTCTACATCACACAGTACATTTCTGGTGCACACACGGCTCCAATATAAGAGCCTTAGCGAGACTGAAATCACAGAGAATTCTAAGGCCTCATCACGTAGGACAGCTCATGAACCCACTGTCTTCATGAAGGCTAGAAGCATGCTTTTGAGAGTTCAACTTCCCTTGTATCCCGCCTCCTACCAACCCAACATATGGATGAGGCTACTTCTGCATCTGCACTGTCTGTCAAAAGATTCTGTGTTGATGTCTTTTTGTCCACTGTAGCAGGGTTCAGAAGTAGGAGCTTGGGAAGTAGATTTGACAGCTTTTTATTTGACAACTATTTATCAATAAAGCATTATAGATTTGCAGTGGGTTTTAGGTTTACTTATTAGCTGTATTGTGAATTATTTAGAACTCTGATCATTGAATATTTTATACACAGAGAGATAAAGTCTTTGGCTAGTACATAAAATAATACATTTCATTATGACATTCTTTTGTTTGTTTGTTTGTCTGTCTGTTTGGGTTTTTATTTTTGTTTTCAAGACAGGGTTTCTCTGTGCAACTCTAGATGTCCTGGAACTCTCTTGTAGATCAGACTGACCTCACACTCAGAGATCTGGCTCCTCTGTCTCCTGAGTGCTGGAATTAAAAGCTTGTACCACCACTGCCTGGCACATTATGACATTCTTATGGATGTATTAAATTTATAAGCTAATGGGCTATGAGGAAATGGCAGAAATTCTGATAGACAGAGGGTCACTGGAAGAATAGATCTGAGGAATATATTTTGTTCCAGGTCCTAACTCCTCTCCTTCTGTCCCTTCCCTCCATGCACTTTTCCCTTTGGAGACAGCATGAAGTAAACAGCTTTCCCCTGCCATGCCCTCAAGAAAACCACACAAGGTTCTTGCCTCATCCTGGTGGAGAAGCATGGTGTCACGTGACCATGTACTAACACCCCTGAAACCATGAGCC